ATATTCAATGAATAAATTAGTAAACAACAACACTATTAACAACGCAACAGATACAAGTAAGATTAAGTCTTACTTCACGCAATATGTCATCACGGTTCGTATCCCTAGGGTAAAACACGGCAATATTAATACCCTAAAGTCCATTACAGTTAAAAAAACTGTAGTTGTTTTTGTAGGTTCGATTCTGATATAAGCCATTTTTTAAAAGTTTAAAGTTAGAAAAATAATTTTTTTAAAAATATTTTTTGATAAGATGATAACAGTATTATAAAAACAATTTTTATTTTTAAATATTCAATTCTTTAGATTAATTTTATAATTTAGGTAAATATTTTATTGTATTTTTTATATCTTGAGAATCTAACCTTGCAGTTAATATAAACTAGGGTTAATTTTTATAGGTTCTATTTTAATATAAGTTATATTTTAAAATTTTATTGTTTGAAAATAAGATTTATTTCATTGATATTTTTGTTAGAATCTAATTTATTGCTATTTTTATTATTTATAAAACAGGGATTAAAATATATTAAAATAAAATAAACAATACAATGTTTTTTTAATAAAATGAGAAGTTCATTTGAAAAATCATTTCTATTTTTTAAGAGTTAATTCTTTAAATATAATTTAAAACTAAGTTAAATATTTTATCAAATATATTTATACATCGCAAATTGATTCACAGTTAATAAAAACTGTGAATCTTTATTGTAGGTTCTATTTTGATATAAGTAATTTTTTAAAAATTTAAAGTTTGAAAAATAAAACTTGTTTAACCGAAATCTTATAACAAAATGAGAAGTGTATTAAAAATCAATTCTAATTTTAAATATTCAATTTTTTAAAAAATTTAGAAATAAAAATTAAATAATTTATTATATTTTCATTTATCGCTCGAATTAGTCTTCAGTTAATAAAAACTGTGATTTATTATTGTAAGTTTGATTTTGATATAAGTCATTTTTTTAAAATATTTAAGTTTGAAAAATATAACTTATTTCATTAAAATCTTATAATGAAAAGAGCAATGTATCCTTTCTCTCTCTTTCCTTATCTTCATTGTTTCTAAACTTATAATCTTTTTTAACAAACATCTTTTTTACTTTAGTTTTCTTAGTATGTTTAAAACTTATTTTTTATATGTAATGCATGATATCACATAATATATTATTTAAACCATTTCTATTTTTAAATATTCAATTCTTTAGATAATTTCAGTAATGAAGTTAAATATTTTATTTTTATTTAATATAAAAGTTTTTAATTCTCTTACAGTTTAAAAAAACTGTCTTGGGTTTTGCAGGTTCGATTCTTATTCAAACTATTTTTAAAAATTTTTAAGTTTTAAAAAAATCTCTTTTGATCAAAATCTTATAATAAAGATAAGAATTTAGTATATCATTAAATTTTCTAATCAAAATAGACTTAAGTTTTTAGTTTCTTTATAAATATAAATGATTCCAATTTAAAAATCTATAAATTTTATTAAATAACATTTTTATAGTTATTTATTAAATATTTATGTAATTTTTTAATTGGAAAATAAGTTTAATGATATAAAAAATTAATTATTGTTTTAATACAATAATTAATTTTTTATACAATATTCGAATAAAAGAGGGATAGTAGGTTTAAAAATATTTAAAATTTGTATTGATAACTTCCTAAATCAGCAGAGTATGAATAAACAAGTATATTTAAATCTTTTGCATTATCTAAATATCCACCAGTAGTAGTATTAACGGTGTCTATAACTATAGTCTCATTATCTTCACATCTATCTTCTAAGTTATCTTGTTTGTCTTAATTTCTATGGGTATAATAAACAGTTTTTAATTTATAATAAAAAATTTTCAAAAACCTGTTTACCTTCAATTTTACTTATGAAGTATTACGACAATAATAAAAGAATATTAAAATTTCAAAAAATTATTTAATTAAAATATAAATTAACTATTAATAAATTCTAAAGAGTTAAATCGAAAAATTTAAGATATTTTTAATCATTTTGATTAAAAAATCTCTCATTAGTAAATCTAGATATTTGCAATTTTTTATTAAAAATAATATGAAAATCAAATTTACTAATCAAAGTATTATTTTAACTCATTTTATATATTCATTACTTTTTTTATTATAAAAATTAAGTTTAAAAAAGTTGCAAATAATTTATAATAATGATTTAGGTAAAAGTTTAATATGATATAATAGTCTTTAGTATTTTCAATCACAGTTATATATTTTTAATGAAAATAATGTATAAAATTTTATTATTCACTTATTTTTAACTAACAAACAATTTTAAAATATTAACTTTAATATTTTTTATTATAAGTTTTTGTATAAATCTGAGGTATTCCGAAGGTAAACCAGCTGCTGACAGGTATCTTGTAAATTAACTCTTAGAACATAACCGTTTTTTAAATTAATTTACTTGCTTGTTGTTATTCTTATTTATCATAAAAATGTTATCCTTTTTAAATTTTTTCTTAAAAATTGAATTAATTGGCAAAATTCATTTACCAAAATTAAATTTGCAATTTTCTTGTGCAGTAGAATTATTTTTTCTAATTTATTTACTTGCTTATTGTTACTCTCTTTTTCCATAACTTTTGGGTTAAAAAAGTTTATAAAAAGTAATAAATCATAATTTCTTAATAATCAATTCTTACAAGACACCTTAAAATCTATTAAAATTTTTTTTTGCCTGTTTTTAAGTTATTAAATAACATATTTATTTTTTTTACTTTATATATTTAAACCCCTTTGTTTCAAATTGGTATTGTAAATACAATAAATAATTTCTCGATAATATTATACAACCTCTTTCATGGAGAGTATAATTTTAGTTTATATTGTTTAAATTATTTTTGGCATTTATTAAAATAAAAGACAAGTATTGTAAATAGTAATTTATAAAAGTTAATTATAATTTAAGTTGAATTTAAATTTTTTTAATTAAAAAATTTCTAATAGCTTGTTTTATAACAATAAATAATGTTTTATATAAAATTATTTGTTTAACAAATGATTTAAAAGCATATTTTAATCATTTAGTATTTTACTTAACAAATACTTTATTAAATTTTAAATAGTAAAAACATAAAAGGTTTTACATGTTTTTTGAATATTCAAATTTTATTTTACTATTCAGAAAAATGATATTTTAATATTAATTTTAAATTTAATGTGGATTATTATTACTAAAAAACATATTTAAAATTAATATTTTTTACTTTTAAATATTTTATTACTAAAAAAATTATTTGTGATTTTACTTTGATTTTATAAAAAAGGTTTTTTTAGCTTTCAATAACTTATTGATTTTTTGTAGATATTTTTATACAATTATTTTATAATTTATAAAGTAATAAGCAAATTAAGTTTGGTTTAAATAAAAATTAAGATTCATTTTAAAATATAAAAAATATAATTTAATAATCACAATTGAGCACTGGTTGTTCATCACAACCGGTTACTCTTTTTAACGTTCGATTCCCGATTAGCTTATTTTTTAAACTTTCTTTTTAACTTTAAATATTATTGATTATGAATTAAATCCGGTTTAAATAAAAAGTATATATTTTTATACATATTATTTCTCATTAAATTTATTATAAGATATTTATATTTAAAATTAAAAAGTTTTCTTAAATTATATAATAGTTATAGAGGGCGATCAGGTTAATCATCACAACCGGTTACTTTTAATAAAGTTCGATTTTTGATTAACTTATTTTTTTAAATTTTCTTTTTAATTTTAAATAATTGCTAAAAAAGAATTAAAAACATATAGTGGTGTTCAAAAAAATGAGCTAGGGTAATTTTTTTAAAAAATAATTACTTACGTAAATTTTATTCAGTTGCTACTCCTATCTCTCTTATAATCTTTATCGCTTCTATAATTAAAATCTTTCATAAACTGTTGTTTATTTACTTCAATTTCCTTTTATAAAATTTTCTGAAACAATGACATCATTTTTTTCAGATTGTAACAACAGTTATTCTATTTTTAAACAGATAAAGTGAAGATTATATGTAAAAAATTAAAAATATTCTAAATAAATTTTACTTTTAATCTAAAAATTAAAAAAACTGTTTAAAAAAATGAGATATTTTAATTTTTTTAAACAGTTTTTGTTTTTAAAACTACTTTGGAAGCTTTTTTAGATAGCAAGACATTTAAATGAGATTGACAAAGCTATATTTATGATGATTCTTATTCTGAATTAAGTTTAAATAAGACTTCTATTAAAAGAGATATTTCTAAAAGAACAGTACAAAGAATAGCTGAAAAGTTGAGAAATAACAATTACTTAGTCGTAAAAGAGGTTTAAGTCGTCTTTAAATATAAAATAATTCTATGAAACAACTTTAAAAAATCTTTATGAAAAAAATTTATTTATTATATGTAAGGAAATTGTTGAAAAGTTAGAAAAAGAATTTAATTTAAAGGTTTCAAAACCCAATATTTTGAAATTTTAAATTAGTTTGAGTTTTATTACTAATTAAACTGTGAAAAAACTATTTAAAGAGCTGTTAACATTGAAAATGATTTAAGATTTTTAAAAATTTATTAGGAGTGAATGATGAAATCTTCAAAGAGTTATATTTTCTTATAAAATAAAATTTAATCTATTTAATAGTGACGGGGTCAGAAATGTTAGAAATTACCAGAGAGAAAGACATAACAGCAAGAACATTGTCATTTCAGTAGAACAAGGAGAAGGATGTGTTATGGTCTGGAACGTATATCATATCAAGGCGTTGGAAGACTAGTGTTCATTGAAGATACTATGACTGAAGCTGCTTTTAAACAAATTTTATCTAAAAATTTGAGACATTCACTAATGAAATGGATATTGAATCACATATTTTTATGCGTGATAATGACCCAAGACACACGTCAAATTTTATTAAAATATGATTAATGTAAAAAATAGAAATCTTATTTTGGTCACCTTAAAGCACAAATTTAAATCTTATTGAGCTTATATGGGTGTTACATTCTGAAATAAATGATGTTATTGTTTTGGAAAAACCTATAAAAGAAAACTGAAGTAAATAAACTACAGTTTTATGAAAGATTTTAATTATAGAAACAATAAGGATTATGAAAGTAATAGAAGTACCAGTGAACTTTTATAAAAAAATGAGTAAAAAAGTTAAATTAAAGAAACAAGAACTTAAAGAAGAAATTTTAAGGATTTGGAATTCTAAAACAACAAAACGGTACAACCACATATTTTGAGTTTTAATAAGAAAGTTTTAGCAATTTAAAGGTAAATGCGAATATGTTTATTATTAAATTCTTTATAGCTCATTTTTTTTGAACACTACTGTATAATTAAAGATGTTTATATATATTAATAATTGATGTAATAATATTATGTAATATTGTATAAAATATAAAAAAATTGTTTTTAAGTGGCATTTTTATTAAAATACATTGTATTCAATAGTTATTAGTGTTTTAGTTCTTATTATTCAAAATAATTTAATTGTAGTGTTTATTAAAATATTAAATGTCTGTTTTAAATTGTAATTTTTTAAAAAGAATTTTTTTTATATTTATTGGATGATTTATTAGTTAAAAAAATAAAATATTAATGTTGTATTTTGTAATATATAATGAAAAAAAATATTTTTTAACTAAAAAGTTTAATATACTAAAAGAATCATTTTATATACATAAAACATTTTAAATTTTTTAAAAGTTTATTAGATTTTAAATAAGATAAGTATTAAACTCTTTTATTTTTTAAATAAAAAAAAGTTTAATCTCTCCCAAAACTTTTTTTAATAAAACGGTAAAAAACATACAAAATAGTTTGTTTAATAGTCATTACTCATATCTTTATCATCTTTTAAACTATTATCGTAATTATCATATTCTCTCTCAATTACTTTGTTATTTATTTTCATGAGTTATAAATTTTCAGTATTAATAGTTTTTTTATAAAATAGTTAATTGTTTGTAAGTAATCTTCATAGGTTAATATATTATTAATAAAAATTATATAGGAAATTTGAAAAGAATTGTTTTAGATTTTAAAAAAGGTTAGTATTAATATATTAATTTTATAACTAAATGTTATTTATTATTAATAATAAAACACATTTAAATGCTATCAAAAGATTTATATTTTAAAATATTCTATAAATTGGTTAATATAATTTAGTTAAAAATAAATTAATTTTAATGAGTTTTATTTTTAAATAGTATCAGATTTGATTTTATATTTTATATTATAAACGGAAATAAATTCTTACTTTAGAAAAACGAGTTTATTTTAAAATCTACAATTTCAATTAAATTTATTTTAAAAATTTTTATATTTAAATTTAAATATTTTTTAAAATTATTATATATCAGATCAATCGTTCACCGGTTAAACGTTTAAACCGGTTACTTTTAATATAGTTCGATTCTGAATAAATCATTTTTTTAAACTTGCTTTTTAATTTTATTGATTATGAATTAAGACTAGTTTATACAAAAGATATTTATTTTTATAAATATTATTCTCATTTAATTTATTATGAAATTAATACATCTAAATATAAATATTTTAAAAAGATAATCAATCGTGCGCTGGTTGAATATAAAAACCGGTTACTTTTAATAAAGTTCGATTCTGATTAATTTTTTTTAATTTTCTTTTCAATTTTATTGATTATGAATTAAGACTAGTTTAGATAAAAATATAATTATTTTTATAAATATTAATTATCATTTAATTTCTATATTTTAATATAAATATTTTAGAATAAAATAAAACAGGAAGCAACTGTAGACTGGTCGAGTATCAAAAATAGTTATTTTTTAAAAAGTTAGATTCTTGATTAGTTTATATTTTTAAACTTTTTTTTACTTTAAATATTTTATAATTAAATCAAACAAATGTAAAAAGATTATTAACTGTTGGTACACTCAGATTTAAAGTGAAACTTAAAAAAACTTTTACAAAAAATTTACACAATAACATTAAATAAATGGTTAATAGAAATATTAAAAGACAAACATTTAACAAAGAAAGAGCTCAGTTACTGGGCGAAGGTGTAATTATTGATCAAGAAATATTCTATAGCAAGATTTATAATTAAAATCACTTTTTAAATTTCAATTTTTACTAAAGTTATTTATAAGAATTTAAAATTTTTAAACTCAATTAATTATTAAAAATTTATAGTGAGTTTAGAGCGATTTATTTAAATTCTCAACATTAATTATTTTATTATAATTATAGAATAAGTTTAAATGTTTCATTAAATAATTCATTAAACCTACTTTTTATTATTAAATTTAAAAATAAAAAGTAGGTTTAAATTTGTATTAAAAAAATGCCTTGTGTAGTAGAATTAATATTACTTAATTGTTTATTGTTACTCTTTTTTCCATAACTTATCGGTTAAAGAATTAAAAAATTATTATAAAAGTAATAAATCATAATGTCTTAATAATCAATGTCTTACAAGACAACTTGTAATCATATTAAGAATTCTATAATATGAAACAAGTCTTACACCATCTTTCTTTTTAGGAATTTATACACCATGAGGTGAAATATGAATCATTTTATTCTTTATTAATCAACTTTTTAATAACCTTTCTAATTCTTCTTTTATTAACAATATCTGTATATCGAGTACTCTAAATAGATTTGAATGAATTATATTGTCACAGTTAAGATTAATTTTTAAAAAAAGTTGCTTATCAAATCTAATCTTGGTTTCATTTTTTATATTTTTTTATAATTTTTGAATCTCTAAATTTAAAAATTCATTTCTTTCTAACCCTACGACATCACACTTATTACACAACAACTTATTAAGATTGTCTTTATCATGATCATCTTTATATCTTATGACATCATACAGCGTATTAGAAAAATCATTTTTATTTTTAAATATTCAGTTCCTTAGATAAATTTATAAAAACACTTTAAATATTTTATCAAAATTTAATATAGGAGGATTTATCCAATCTGAGTTAATAAAAACTTAATTTGGATTTTGTATGTTCGATTCTAATATTTTTCAATTTTTTAAAATTTTAAAGTTTGTATAATATAGCTTATTTCATAAATATTTTTGAAGTTATGAAATGAAAACTGTATTATAAAAGCCATTTTTTTAAATATTTATTTCTTTAGATAAATTAAAAAATAACTAAATTATTTTATTATAATTATAAATACACACACAGTCGCTTCACTGTTAAAAAATATTTGATTGATTTTTAAAGGTTTGACTTTGATATAACTCTTTTTTAAAAAATTTAGGTTTGAAAATTAAGACTTATTTAACTGAATTATTATTATAAAAAGAGCAATATATTAGTAAAATCATTTCTATTTTTAAATATTTATTTCTTTAGATAAATTAAAAAAAACAACTTAAATATTTTATCAAAATTATATATACATCTGAAAATCTCATCGAGTAAATAAAAACTCGGTTCAGTTTTTTTAGGTTCGATTCTGAAAATGTTCATTTTTTTAATTTTTAAAGTTTGAAAAATAAGACTTATTTAATACAAATCTTATAATAAAATGATAATAGTTTTATAAAAACTATATTATTTTTAAATATTCAATTCTTTAGATAATTTCAGCAATGAAGTTAAATATTTTATTTTAATTATATATTAATACTTTATTTCCCTTACAGTTAAAAAAACTGTCTTGGGTTTTGCAGGTTCGATTCTTATTCAAACTATTTTTAAAAATTTTAAGTTTTTAAAAAAATTTCTTTTCGCTAAAATCTTATAATAAAGATAAGAAATTAGTATATCATCAAATTTTCGAATTAAAATAGACTTAAGTTTTTAGTTTTTTTATAAATATAAATAATTCTAATTGAAAAAGCTTTATATTTTATTAAATAACATTTTTATAGTTATTTATTAAATATTTATGTAATTTTTGAACTATT